TACTACAGCACAGTGAAGAAAATGGAAATAATCACCGTGAAATAAAAGCATTCTTTGGAAATAACCATCATAATCTTAATAATGCTCGAATAGGGCCGGTTTTCCTCTGGATTTTGAGGTGTAATATGAGCTGGACGTGTGTGTGTGTGTGTGTGTGTGTGTGTGTGTGTGTGTGTGTGTGTGTGTGTGTGTGTGTGTGTGTGTGTGTGTGTGTGTGTGTGTGAGATTCTCCTGTAAAGTGCATTGGTTTTCCTACACATGATGAGAGGAAAACTGCAGTTTTCAAACGTGTGTGTGTGTGTGTGTGTGTGTGTGTGTGTGTGTGTGTGTGTGTGTGTGTGTGTGTGTGTGTGTGTGTGTGTGTCCTTTCACAGCATTCAGACCTGCTGAAACTCCAGGAAAACACACAACAGCCCTTCAAGAGCTCATCAGCGCAAGCGTAGTGTTCATCGCTAATGAAAGACTACAACAACAAACACTTACAGATGTGAAACAAACAGACAAAAACAACATGTGTGTCAGGGAAACACTTAACTCCGTCCAGGTAAAGCCTTGTGGCGTTTGGCACTGATTAGACTTGATGATGAAGTGAGTGTGTGTGTGTGTGATTCTTCCAGTATTGAGATGATGATGATGATGAAGTGAGAGAAGAGTGTGCATCTAATGGCTCTCGATGACCACAGGCTCATAAACTCCAGCAGAGACCCTGTGGACACAGCAGAGGGGTTGACCAGTCAGTCTGAGGCTGTGATGTGTGTCTGTGTGTTTATTATACAAACAATTTTCAGAATACATCACTATTCACTCTTGAAAGGATACTGAGCTCAGATATTAACCCTTGTGTGCTGTTGAGGACATTTTCGTCCACTCCTGGGTAATTTTTAAGTCTTAATTTGGCCACAACTTTCTCTATGTTTCAGCAAATGGAATGATTTTTGGGGCCGGATCTTATTTTGACATAATTGTAGAGAAAAACTGGCTAATTTTGAGCTTTTCTCCCCTATTTTCATCTTCTGGGTTTAAAATCTATATGGGGACTATGTCACTTTTGCTGATGTAGCATACGACTGCGAGTTCTATGATGATGCGTCGGGTTTTAATTATTATTCATGAGATTAAGTTTCTCATCTGTGGAAATATAAATTTCTATCAACTAATTCCAAATGAACAATAATCTACGTATAACTGAAAAGTTATATTTTTTGGTTTTTAATTATATCATTTCATTGACATCCCAGCTAGGAGGGACATTTAACCTTTATCTCTCTGACTACAGGCTAAGCCAGTGATGCAAATGCTTTAAACGACTCTGTCTTTGTCTTCGGGTGTTGCTTTTATGCTACAGAAACCCTATGTTGATAAACTTGTGTGGTCAGTAGCTGGGCCGTTTTTTAACACCTATGCCATGCTGACTCCAATACTGAATTTGCATGCTTTGTTTAGTCATGTCCTCTCCTCCTAAGAACACAATATAGCCATGAAACCTTTGTCTTAAATTAGACTTGTGTGAGACTTGTGTGAGACTTGTGAAAGAACTTGCAGACTGCAGACCTCTAGTAGGATCTTGCAGACACATGGAAATCTAAAAGACGCTGTATGACTGCAGATTAACCAAAACGTCTCAATAAAGGAATTCTGCTTGTTTCGAGTCTCCTGGACTGGGTTCTCTCTTCTTTTCACTCATTTATTTTTTACAACACATCCAATGAGAAGAGCTGTTTCTGATTTCTTCAGTCAAGCTATGAGACCATGAGGTCATAATGACGATAGTGTTGTCAAAAGTACTGCGAGTCTGTATTGAAATTTTTTTTAAATGTGACGACAGCATTTCCCACTTGCTTTTAGAGCTCAGCTGAGTGTTTTACTAAACTTCACTGATTGGCTGCTCAACAGATATGACTGGGATTGGCCGTCATGATCACCAGTCCAATGAACTCCAGCGCCATCTCCTGTTAAACAGAAGCCTAAACACCACCTCTATTGGCGAATGGATAGAAATTGTTCAAGAAATAAGTCATATGGAAGAATTGACATTTATTTTAAAAGACTTATTTTTAAAATAATGAAAGATATGGATTGAATACTGTAATGTAAACAATTGTTGAATGTACAGAATGTTTAACAATGGAAATGCCTCAATGTTGTTGTTTTTGGTTTGTTTGCTTTCCTTATTTTTATTCTTTCCTGTTGAGTTTTTGTAAATTCTCGCCTTTGGACGTAAAATGTTCTACAAAAAATAAAGTAAAATAAAAATATTAAATAAAAACTAGAGATCAATCTGCGCAAACGTTAAGCTCAGAATAGATTTAAAAGACAATATGGATGCATTTTAAAAATCTGAAGCGATCTCTCACCACAGCTCTATATTGTATTTGTGCAGTGTGTTTATGAAATGACCTGTTTCCCAGCTGAATGCCGCTCAGTGCTGTCGTTCCATCTCTGCTCACAAACAGCCTCAGGTTACTATCTGTACATAGAGAGAAAGCGAGAACAGTGATGACACAGTTGTTTAAACTCAATCTAAATCTATTTACTGCCATTTTTTGTGATGAATTAATTTTTTTTTTTTATTTGACTTTTATTTATTTTATTTATTATCAGTATACACTAATATTTTTATAATTATATTTTTCTGCAAGAAAAATAACTGAACGGTATACAAGTAAATATATGATATACATGTACATAATTTGTCTACATTATATATGTGAATTTACACACTCACCAGCCACTTTATTAGGTCACCTTACTGTATTGGGTTGGACCCCCTTGTGGCTTTAGAACTGCCTTAATCCTTCGTGGCATAGATTCAACAAGGTTCTGGAAATATTCCTCAGAGATTTTGCTCCATATTAACATGATAGCATCACACAGTTGCTGTAGATTTGTCGGCTGCACATCCATGATGCCAATCTCCTGTTCCACCACATCCTAAAGGTGCTCTGTTGGATTGAGCTTTGGTGACTGTGGAGGCCATTTGAGTAGAGTGAACTCATTGTCATGTTCAAGAACCCAGTCTGAGATGATTCACGCTTTATGACATGGTGCATCATCCTGCTGGAAGAAGATGAGGACACTGTGCTCATAAAGGGATGGACATGGTCAGCAGCAGTACTCAGGTAGGCTGTGGTGTTGACATGATGCTCAATTGGTACTAATGGACCCAAAGTGTGCCAAGAAAATATCCTCCACACCATTACACCACCACCAGCAGCCTGAACCGATGATACAAGGCAGGATGGATCCATGCTTTCATGTTGTTGACGCCAAATACTGACCCGACCATCCGAATGTGGCAGCAGAAATGGAGACTCATCAGAGCAGGCAACGTTTCTCCAATCTTCTATTGTCCAGTTTTGGTGAGTCTGTGTGAATTGTAGCCTCAGTTTCCTGTTCTTAGCTGACAGGAGCGGCACCCGGTGTGGTCTTCTGCTGCTGTAGCCCATCTGCCTCAAGGTTGGACGTGTTGTGTGTTCAGAGATGCTCTTCTTCAGAGCTCGGTTGTACCAAGTGCTTAATTGAGTTAATGTTACCTTTCTATCAGCTGGAACCAGTCTGGCCATTCTCCTCTGACCTCTGGCATCAACAAGGCTTTTGTGCCCACAGAACTGCCGCTCACTAGATATTTCCTCTTTTTCAGAGCATTCTCTGTAAACCCTAGAGATGGTTGTGCATAAAAATCCCAGTAGATCAGCAGTTTCTGAAATACTCAGGAAAGGCCGTCTGGCCTTCAAAGTCACTTAAATCACCTTTCTTCCCCAATCTTTGAGGTCTGCTGAACAGATTTCTGATGCGCGGGAATAGATTTTCGAATAAAGCGATCTGTAACTGGTTTAATTTTGGACGGGAGCGGGCTGTCTAGCAATATCGCTCCCGACTAGCGGGATCGGGCGCGGCGGGTAGAAAACGGGGCGGGTCGGGCAGTGGGACAACAAATCCTGAATATAAGCGGGAGTGGTCGGGTTCGGGCTAAAACCTGCGGGAGCGGGATTTAAAATTTAGTCCCGCGCAGATCTCTTACCAATCTGATGCTCGGTTTAAACTGCAACAGATCATCTTGACCATGTTAAAAATGGCTGATTATAAATGTGTTAACGAGCAGTTAGACAGGTGTACCTAATAAAGTGGCCGGGTAGTGTGAATCTTTTTATAGTGTATAATCTTTTTTAGTTCTTTACAATATTTTTTTGGAATGTTAAAAAAATATATTATTTTATGCAATTTACTTGCGCACGTTTAACTGTAAAAACCTTGAACAAAATGGAATGGACTAAAATTACTTAAAATCACAGATAAAGCCTATAGGGCAAGGTTTAAATCCCATTTTTTGTAATTTTAAGCACTGAAGGCAGATTGATTGTTTACATTACAAATGTAAAACACCCCTGAGCAGTGATTGGCCAGTGTTTACATACTGAGGTTGTGACTGGCTTATCGGATCCCTCACCTTCATTATTACTGATGTCAGAGAAGTTCTGGCTCTGCACGATCTTCTCCACGATGTCGTCTGCATCGATGCGCGTGTCGTTGACCCACGTCGGCTGATCCTCCACTGAATCCTGCTTCCTCCTGAACAAACACAAGGAAAAAACCTGTCAAATTCACAAGCTGTGATTCCATCAAAACATGTGAATTAGACTTAAGCACAAATCTGTAATATCTCATAAAACATTTGTGAATAAAGCAGCGTTTCCATCCAATGAGTCAAAGAGAATAAAATCATCACTTCCTGATAAACTGGAGCAAATATCAGACAGGGAAATGTAGTTTAATGCGGTAGAGAAGCCACTGTGGTGTTTTTCTTCTCTAATAAATGAGTTGCGTCTTAGAAACAAAGACGATATAAACGTGGTGAATGCGGTGGCTTTTGGAGGCGTGAGACAGTCTGTGGGAGCAAAGGCAGATGCTCAAGACAGTTCTGGAGGGAATAATAACAGAACAATAGTAATACTGAAGCTCTATGATGACGGACTGACGGCTGAAGCATTTTACACTCAGCAAAACAACATTTCAGATCTGCAACAATGTGAAGCTGCAAACTCCATTAATGCAAAGTCCCTGAAACACACATTTCTATCATCTGTTCAAACTAAATCACAGGGCGTTACTGATGCGCATGCTGGAGTTTATTCACTAAATGTGTGTCCATCTTAGTTCATGCACATTCGGTCGTATTAGATTAAAAACTCATTTTCATAATTTATGCACATCTTGAGATTCCAATTAAGCTTTTTTTTAATGTGATATTCCAAAATGCAGATACGAATAGCTGGATGGAAAGAGCTACTGTCAGATGTGTGTGTGTGTGTGTTTCTAATGACGGCATACCGTGGGGGTCTGCTGGAGGGTAATATAGGCCGCGGGGGTCGAGGAGGGCGATCAGGACGGCTGTCGCTCTCTGACGGGGCATCTGCACTCACACTGCTGCCTGTAGATGTGTTCCTGCGGTGGGTCAAGTCTGACAGACTGGAGGAGCACGACAGCTCAGTGCTGTAGCCTGTACACACACACACACACACACACACACAAAATATATATATATATATACATATACAGTTGAAGTCAGAATAAGTAGCCTCCTAAATTATTAGTCTCCCGTACATTTTTCCCCTAATTTCTCTTTAATGGAAAGATTCTCTCAACACATTTCTAAACATAATAGTTCTAATAACTCATTTCTGATAATTGATTTATTTTATCTTTGCCATGATGACAGCATATATTACTTGACTAAAACATTGTAGTGTTCAGTGACGGGCTTAACTAGGTTAATTATGCAGGTTATGCCGAGTTCAGACTGCTCGATTTTTAAAGTCGTCGTGTCACAGATGTTTTCACACTGCATATCTGGGGTAGCGTTTCATCGCTGCAAGATGGAAGGGCGACAGAGGGTTTCACACTGCATGACTTTACAATAGGAAGACTCGCCAACGACTTTGTCTCAATCAGCAAACTACGTCTTACAATCAAACACACACGAGAAGTGACATGGAAACACTGAGAGGTGACGTAGTATACTGTATCTTTTGTTATTTCATAATGAGAAAGAAGCCTTTAGTGGGGTAAAATGTACATATTTTGCTTACCTGACCTTTAAAGGGAATTAGCAATTTCTCTTCAACTTTTTTTTGTTTTTCGACCCGGTTGTGGTGTTGCTCAGATGACACGTCAAACAGACATAGCTGCTCCTGCCAAATTTACACTAGTTTCTTCCATATCTTGAGTCCAAATAGACTGAAAAAGCTCTTTTAACTTCTCCCCTAACCTCCCGCTGGCCTACAGATACCCATACTAGTGGATCGCCAACAGGTCCAAATATTTAGCATGCCAAATATCTCACAAGGGTCTCTTTGATAGTTCACATTGTGTGATTGTTACTCACGTGAACAAGCACCGATGTGGCTGTGATTTTGTGTATTTGTCATCTATTTCTTAAAAATCAGGGCAAAAACAATGCAGTTTGAACTCAGCATTAGGGTAATTAGGCAAGTCATTGTATAACAGTAGGGTTGAGTATCGTTTGGGTTTTCGATACCGGTGCTAAATCGATACTTTTAAAACGGTACCGGTGCCAAAACGGTGCCTGAACCGATACTTTTGAGCCACAAAATTATTATGGATGACTCTAGAAAATCTTTTAATTGACAAAATCTTAAAAAATAATAATTTTAATAGAACAATATAATTAAAGTTTACAGTGAACATCAGTTCATATTTTATAAATTTGAATTACATTAATATATTTCCTTTGATCATTTGTTGGTTAGCATGAATTTAAGATTTGAATTATGAAATTACATTAGCTTACTACTAACCTGTAGAAATGCTGTCATCAAAATACTAAACTCCTTTTTTTCCAGGGGTTGTTTACATGGTTATCAGTAATCTAATGGTTTGCCTTAATCTGAATAAGACAATGATATGATCAAGGTTTACGTTCACCACGTATCCATGTTTCCTCCAGAGTTTCATGTAATTTTAGGTGTTTCATTTTTAATTTTTCGACTTTAACTGCAGTTTCACTTTCATTCAGGAACATTTTATTCATTCCCTCATGACAAACTGAGGTATTTGATGCGAGCATTAAGTAAGGACTGGTTAAAGAGTGCTCTTTCAATGGAATTTGATACCGCACGTTGAATGGAAAGAAAAAAACTCTGCATTTCGCGACGCAGGTGTCTGTGGTCCTTTAAGGTAATCAAAAATCACTGTTTGCATGGTCGTCTAGACTCTAAATCAGAGTGTTGTCTTAATCACATTAAATCTGAGCATTGGTGTCCATGGACGTACTCATTAAAAGTGCCAGATGATGTCGCAGACCTTCAGAGACAGTGCATTCCTCTGCGTAAGTTGACTCCCTGAGCCCTCAAATGTGTCATTAAGTTTGACGTGTTTCCCCATTACATGCAATTTTTGTAAAGTGTCTGCTTCACGTCGCTTTGTCAGAATCTTTGCTTGTAAAATACACTTTAGAACGCTTAGTTTAAGCAAATTTGATGAACGCTATCATGCGTGTTGATCTGAAGAGAGTCGCTCTCGCTCACCGAATGCGCTGTACTGCATGCGTTGCGTGCGTCTGTTCCCTAAGCAACAAACGCCTGACATCGCCTGTCCTTATTCTTCAAAGTTGTTTAGAATGAAATGTTTAGAGATGATGTGACAACGCGTACCTATGTGTGCCTTTAATGCATCCCTTGATATTTCTTACGTCCTTGTCACAGCACCAATGGCACCGAAATTCATATGAGGATTTGATCCGGAACATACCGGTTACAAAGGTACAGCACCGGGTTTCGGTACCCAACGTATATAACAGTCGTTTGTTCTGTAGACAATCCAAAACAAATATCGCTTAAGGGGGCTAATAATATTGACCTTAAAATGGTTTTAAACAAATTAAAAACTGCTTTTATTCTAGCCGAAATAAAACAAATAAGACTTTCTCCAGAAGAAAAAATATTATAGGAAATACTTTGAAAAATTCCTCAATCTGTTAAACATCATTTAGGAAATATTTAAAGAAGAAACTAAATTCACAGAAGGTGAATAATTTAGAATTTGAACTGTATGTATATTATACACGCATACAGAATCAAAAGATAATTATGCATCACTTTATATAAGAGTATTATATGTTGTTTATAAGTTGCAAGAAATTCAGAAAGTGTGCATGTGTGTACTGTTAAAACATTGAAATTCAGGCAATGTTTGTTTTTCCCTTTAAAGAAAGCCATTTAAAGAAGCCACCGAGTTTTAGATAATGCTTGAAGAGAAATGTTCACACACATTGATGTGAGTTTGACTTTTTTTACTGTCAGTAGAGCATGTTAAACAAACATTCACACACAATAGCAGAGCGTCAGATGGAAAAAAGAGACAGGAAACTGTAGGCGCAACTTCCTGAAGGAGCAACTGTGGATGACATACAAGAAAACATACAGAATTTCCTTTCTTATGAAACACACACACACACACACACACACACACTTTTATTTATATATATATATATATATATATATATATATATATATATATATATATATATATATATATATAAATTAAAGATATATAGATAGATGCACTGTTTTCCAAATGGGACAAATGAAATGCCCCCACAAGGTAAAAAAAAAAAAAACGGTTATTTGCAATTTCTGAGGAGAGATTTTATCCCTACAATGTGATGAATACCAGGACCCAACACACAAACAAGCACAAACCCACAATTGCACAAACACAGACAGAGACAATCACACACACACCTGAGAGTTTGCTTTGCTGGCTGGCGTAGCTGGAGTTGCGTGAATGACCCGTGTGAAAGGATTCATCAGGACTCTGACTCTGATCCGCCTCCTCAGGAAGAGCTAGAGCAAAAAAACAAGCAGGAATATTAAAAATATAGATGAAAAAACAAACAGATCTAATAACAAGCGCGTTAAACATGCAGACTGATTCATAGTCAGTGTTGAGCATCTGCATATTTTCATCTTAAAAATGTTGACAAACTTCACATATCCTTTTAATGTCTGATGCAGAAAAGCTTATTCATGCTTTCATGACCTCTCGATTAGATTATTGTAATGTGTTAATAGGCGGTTTCCCTGCTGACCTAAATTACAAACTTCAGCTAGTTCAAAATGCAGCTGCTAGAGTGCTTTCTAGAACAAAGAAATATGATCATAATACTCCAGTTCCCCTTCGGTTGGGGAACTTCAGTGCCATGAATGGGAGGATTCGGATCAGAAGCCGCTTATCTGGAGAGTATTGAACGGGCCAATGAATGAAATTAATTGGCAGCGTAAGCTTGCGCAGGTGTGCGACATCTGCAATCATCTCAGCATATAAGCACACCTGAAGCCAGCAGACGCCATCCTTTTCGCTTCAGATCCTTTCTGAGTGAGTCGATGAGGGTTCCTCTTGCTGATCAGCACTTCAGAGCGAACGAGTGTGTCTCCCGGTCCAGAGTGGGTCTTCGCGGTGGCAGACGGTCGAGCTGGGTTACTCCCTTGCCTGCGGTTCTTTGGGTCCGGTCCTCCAGAGCGGTGCGTATAGTTGCAACTTTCCTAAAAGAGCAACACAGTCGTGCAGCACGTCCTTTTCAGGATGGCGCTCCGACTGTGCGTTTCTGGATGCGGGGGTTTCCTGTCTCCGGATGATGGACACGATCACTGCATTGCATGTTTGGGGGTCCAGCATGTTAATGCGGTGCTCGCGGGCGGTTCATGTCGTCATTGCGATGCCATGACCGTTGCACAGCTAAGATCGCGGCTAACTTTCGCAAGAGAGCGAGCCACCCCAGTTGCCTCCTGTTCTAAAAAAGCAGCGGGCGCTCGGGCAGATCTGAGGGTTTCAGCGGAAGCTAATCCGCCGCCCACGGGCTCGCGGACCTCTCGCTCCTCACGGCGCTCCATCCAAGCTTCGGGTGGTGAGAGTGATCCGTCTAACCAGATGGTAGCTCTCACACTCGCTGACACCAGAGATCAGATGTCCTCCGCGGCATCGGAGGGTGGGCTTTCACTGTCCGACGAAGATCCGGACCCGCTCGCCCCCTCCGGGCAGGTGAGCGCTGTCAAATCGGATCCTGAAGCGGACATGTTAGCCGTGCTTTCCCGGGCTGCTTCGGCCGTGGGGTTGGAGATGGTTTATCCCCCAGCTCCGCGGCCGGACCGACTAGATGGGTGCTACGTAGAGGACCAGAAGGCGAAGCCTTCGAAGCCTCTCGTCCCCTTCTTCCCGGAAGTGCACAGTAGGCTCACGCAGTCCTGGAGGGCACCTTTCTCTGCCCGTGCTGCGAGTGCCTCCGCCCTCACCGCCCTTGACGGCGGAGCTGCCAGGGGGTATGAGGCGATCCCGTCAGTGGAGCGCGCTATCGCGGTCAATCTTTGTCCGCGCGGCGCCTCTACGTGGCGGGGTTTGCCCCGCCTCCCGTCCAAAGCCTGTAGGTTGTCTGCCTCCCTCGGAGCCAGAGCTTATAAGGCTGCGGGCCAGGCTGCTTCTGCTTTGCACGCGATGGCCACCTACCAGCGCTACCAAGCGCAGGCGCTGGCCGAGCTGCACGAGGGCGGGTCCAACCCAAGCTTATTACATGAGCTGCGCACCGCGACCGACTATGCTCTTCGGACTACTAAGTCCGCCGCGTGTGCGCTGGGGAGGACGATGTCCACACTTGTGGTTCAGGAACGCCACCTCTGGCTAAACCTGGCCGATATGCGCGACGTTGACAAAGTTCGCTTTCTTGACTCGCCCATATCCCAGGCTGGCCTGTTCGGCGACACCGTCGGTGAATTCACCCAGGAATTCAAGGCGGTGAAAGAGCAGTCGGATGCGATGGGCAATGTCATCTATCGGCGTGGCCGTAAGCCCGCTCCGCCCACCGTGCCATCCACCTCCGCTGTTCCTCGCCGAGGGCGCCCGCCAACGAGTGCTGCCCCGCCCCCGCCTGCGCCTCCGGCCAAGCGGGCGCGGCGTTCACCTCGAAAGCAGGCAGCCCCTCCTGCCCAGGGCGCCGTTAAGTCCGGTAAACGGACCACGAAGCGTCCCTGAGACAGGCCATCCGGAGAAGAGGAAACTTAAAAATAACAACGGTACTTTTCAGTGCCACCAAAACATCAGTAAAAGAGCACTTTATCCCTTCCCCGGATGTGACTGCACGAGTTCTGCCAGTCCGGGACGCGCTGCCTTCCGGCTCGCAGACTCTACGTGCTTCGCCAGTGGCTCACGAGCGCTGGGGGGACGGTCTCCCTTCCCTCAGCCCTCCAGCCCCTTCTCCGGAGTCAGGGTGCGGAGCCAGAGCGAATCGCTCTCCTCCAGCTTTTCCGCGGGACCCTCGTGCTTCCCGGATCAGCACACCCACTCCGCGCTGCCCCACCGCTGGTACGTCAGCGATTGTAGCGATGACTCCATTAGCGAGGGCTCTGCCTGCCTGGTTAGCGCGGGCCAGCCCCTCGCGGTGGCTCATACGCACAATCAGACTCGGTTACGCGATTCAGTTCGCGAAACGGCCCCCCAAGTTTACGGGCGTGTATTTCTCCAGGGTCAACCCCCTGTCCGCCCCTGTCTTGCGAGAGGAGATTGCTGCCCTCCTGGCGAAGGGTGCAATCGAGCCGGTTCCTCCAGCCGAGATGGAGAGTGGGTTTTACAGCCCATACTTCATCGTACCCAAAAAGAGCGGTGGGTCACGGCCAATCCTAGATCTGCGCGTTTTGAACCGCTGTCTGCACAAGCTGCCGTTCAGAATGCTCACGCAGAGGCGCATTCTCCAATGCGTTCGTCCTCGGGATTGGTTTGCAGCCATAGACCTGAAGGACGCGTATTTCCATGTCTCCATTCTTCCACGCCACCGCCAATTTCTGCGGTTTGCGTTCGAGGGTCGAGCGTGGCAGTACAAGGTCCTCCCCTTCGGGCTCTCTCTGTCTCCGCGGGTCTTCACCAAACTCGCGGAGGGTGCCCTAGCGCCCCTTCGGCTCGCGGGCATTCGCATACTCAGTTATCTCGACGACTGGCTGATTTTAGCCCACTCGCGGGAGCAATTGATTATGCACAGGGACGAGGTGCTTCGGCATCTCCGCCTACTGGGGCTTCAGGTCAACCGAGAAAAGAGCAAACTCGCCCCCGTGCAGAGGATTTCTTTTCTCGGGATGGAGCTGGACTCGATCACCATGGTAGCGCACCTCTCCGAGGAACGCGCTCGCCTGTTGCTGAACTGTCTGAGGGAGCTCGACAGCAAACTAGTGGTCCCACTGAAGTTCTTTCAGAGGCTCCTGGGGCATATGGCATCCGCAGCCGCCGTCACGCCGCTCGGGTTGCTCCATATGAGACCACTTCAGCACTGGCTTCACGATCGGGTCCCCAGACGCGCATGGCACGCGGGCACACACCGGGTCTCGGTTACTGCGCTGTGTCGCCGCGCCCTCAGCCCTTGGAACGACCCCTCGTTCCTACAGGCCGGTGTGCCTCTAGGACAGGCGTCCAGCCATGTTGTTGTTTCAACAGACGCTTCCAACACGGGTTGGGGGGCCGTGTGTCGCGGGCATGCGGCTGCGGGCCTCTGGAAGGGTGCCCAGCTGCATTGGCATATCAATCGCCTAGAGCTGTTGGCAGTGTTCCTCGCTCTCCACCGCTTTTTACCGGTGCTGGAGCGGCAACACGTGCTGGTCAGGACGGACAGTACGGCGGCGGCGGCGTATATCAACCGCATGGGGGGTATGCGCTCTCGCCGCATGTCTCAGCTCGCCCGCCGTCTGCTCCTCTGGAGTCACCCGCGGCTGAAATCGCTGCGCGCCATTCACGTCCCAGGCACGCTCAATCGTGCAGCCGATGCGCTCTCACGACAGCTGTTACGCCCTGGAGAATGGAGACTCCACCCCGAGTCTGTTCAGCTGATATGGGCGCGATTCGGGGAGGCCCAGATCGATCTGTTTGCTTCCCCCGAGAACGCTCACTGCCAGTTGTTTTTTTTTCCCTGACCGAGGGCTCTCTCGGCACGGATGCACTGGCCCACAGCTGGCCTCGGGGCATGCGCAAGTATGCGTTTCCCCCAGTGAGCCTGCTCGCGCAGTTTCTGTGTAAGGTCAGGGAGGACGAGGAACAGGTTCTGCTAGTTGCGCCCCTTTGGCCCAACCGGACCTGGATATCAGAGCTCTCACTCCTCGCGACGGCCCTCCCCTGGCGGATCCCTTTGAGAGAGGACCTACTCTCTCAGGGACAGGGCACCATCTGGCACCCTCGCCCCGATCTTTGGAACCTCCACGTGTGGTCCCTAGACGCGAGGAAGACTTAGGTAACCTACCGATGCGGTGGTTAATACCATCACTCAGGCTAGAGCCCCCTCCACGAGGCGCGCCTACGCCCTGAAGTGGAGTCTATTCACTGAATGGTGCGTCTCTCGCAGAGAAGACCCCCGAAATTGCCAGATTAGTGTTGTGCTCTCTTTCCTTCAAGAGAAGTTGGACAGCAGGCTGTCGCCCTCCACTCTCAAGGTTTACGTGGCCGCCATCTCCGCTTATCATAGCGCGGTAGCTGGCGGCACCGTGGGAAAGCATAACCTGGTCATCCAGTTCCTTAGGGGTGCTAGGCGAATTAATCCATCTCGCCCCCCTCTCATGCCCTCTTGGGATCTCGCCCTCGTTCTCACGAGTCTGCGATCCGATCCCTTTGAGCCACTCGAATCAGTATCTCTAAGATTTCTGTCCCTGAAGACAGCTCTGCTGGTTGCGTTGGCCTCCATCAAGAGGGTCGGGGACCTGGAGGCATTTTCGGTCAGTGACTCGTGCCTGGAATTCGGGCCGGATTACTCTCACGTTATCCTGAGACCCCGCCCCGGTTATGTGCCCAAGGTTCCTACCACCCCCTTTAGAGATCAGGT